ACTTTTTTATTTTGGCTATTTGTATACTTGAAAATCTTTATTTTCTTCACCAAAAAGATATATTCTTTTTATATGTAAATTGGATCCGCCTTTGTTTGTTTATGCGTACCTTTATTTTGTACCCGGGGGGTGTATTTCGCTCCAAGCAGGTCAGTCATGTTTTAATTGGCCCTCCATCAGTTCTGGTATCTTTTTCTAGTTAGCCCAAACTATATTATTTTATTTCGTAATGGTAATGTTAATGAACCTTCCGGTTTAGCTTCTTTGTGTAAATAACTTGTAGTTCTGATGTTAAAACCAAACTTTTCAGGAATAGTAGCTAGGGGAGTGATTTGTCAAATATGCATAAAAGAAAAGGTAAATCTGTTTACGGTTCTGTTTCATATGGATGTTGAGAGATGTATCCATAGATTTAGTCCCTAATATTGCATTAATATATTAATATGCATTTAACTTCAACATTTAAAAAAAAATCTTCCCGTGGGAGCATGCCCCCGGACCCCCCTAGAGGAGGTTAGGTCCACCACCTGCCAACACCCCCCGTCAAATTGTCCCACCCACATTGAGAATGCTTCCTACGCCCATGCCTGAGACACAGTTTTGTGAATATTGTTGTTTTTTGCCCCCACGGGCGGGGGCATGGGGTTTAACAGGTTTTAAAGGTCCCATGTCATGGCCATTTCTACTGATCATATTTCCATTGTTGAGGTATACTAAAATAGATTTAAATTGTACAATTTTCCAAAATCTCATTGGTTTCTCATACAGCATCTCTGAATAGTATGTGTATTCACTCTCTGTCCTAAACGGCTTGTTGGAGCTCCTGCCCCCCCTATTTTCCTTTAGAATGGCAGGAAATTAGTATTCAAATTTGTATTTAATTTTTGGTCTCCCCCAATGTTGACTCCATGGTTACGGCCTTGTTTTGCATGATAGGACACCTTTAATATGGAGTATAGAAAACCCAGATGTTTGTCTGTTTTTAACTTTAGCTGAAAGAAATACGGGTGTCCATACTGAGAGTGCATTAATATTAGCTATGTAGATGTGTCTTTCGATGCTTGTTATGAAAAAAACAAGCTGGGAAAGATCACTGTCATGGAAGTTTATTTTCCATGAATTACACTGGAGAGTCAGGGCTGTGATGGTAATCCTTTCCATCAATGTGCCAGGAAACAACTAGAGATACTCTAGTCTAGAATATGAGTGTTGCCAATCAAAGAAAACATTCTACATGCCCAGTTTCCTTCCTGCCACTGTCTCCCTCCAACATTGCCCCTACTCTCTCATTTCACTAACATTTTCATTTTTCTGTGAAAACAATTGAAGACAAGGAAGACATAAAAACACATTTTAGACATTCAAAGTATTCACCAAGGTTAATGGTTCACATCCAGTTGTTTCTCCACAGTTAACAACTCAAAGTCAGTTTATTTAGCTTATATGTAGACTTTTTAATCTCTACGTTGTTTTCAGGATACATGTTAGCTGTGTCGACCTACTCATCCAGTGACCTCAACATCCTTCTCAGCTATCTCCTCACGTCTGCTCCCTCCCTCAGTACAGTACAGTACGACCTCTCCCTGGCCAACTCCATCTGCTCCACCTCCACCTCTGTACCTGTCCTCTTTTCCCCCTCTCTTCAGGCTTCCCCAACAAACATCCAGGCAGGTGTTGTAGTTCCTTGCATTGTATAATTACAATAAACAATGGGGACCCGCAAGTCACAGAGGGACGAGGAAAAATGAGGCAGAAAAAGTGAGAAACAGAAAGTGAACATCTCATGAATGGACGTTTTATAAGAAGCACATTCCAGGCTCCTGGTCATTCTCTCAGGTTGTGTCCTCCAGGAAATACCCCAACATTTCCTCCACACATCTTAACTCCAGCACATACACACTTGCACCGAAGCTGCCCACCCCCCTTATTCCCAAACTTCTTTCTTCTTCTTTCTTCCCTGATGCCTTCCCGCCAACACAGTGCCCTTTCCCAATCAAATTGCAGAACAGAACAAGCACTCTTTTGTGTCCACTTCTACCTGAGACCACCCCCTTCCTGAGACCACCCCTTTCCTGTGTGTCTGAATGCTATTAGTCAGGGTTTTTCTAGAAATCACTGCGATATTATGTTCAGTAATTATCTTGTATAATAACAAAAAATAGTAATACTGTAGAATTGCAATATGTTGAAAAGTGGAAACAAAGTTCTTGTTAAAATGTATTACATATTTGCATATGCTACAATGAGAACTGACCCAAAGTGGGTGTAAGATGTATTCTACCTATTCCACTAAATATTAAGGGGCCCTGCTTTGGGGGATTTATTGTTTTTGTGCTTGTAAATGGTCGGCAAAGGCTAAAATTCCAAAGTTCCCTCCAGAATGAGTTTCTCTCCCACACACTCCATGCCTGAAACGCCTCCATCGGACTTATTTGTTTACTTCAGTAACATAGTGACATCATTATATAACACTCTTGCTTCTATTGGCTAATGCTCCACCCCATTATGCATGATAGGCTAAGGGGCGTGACAACTCTTAACAGTTGACCAATCACAACAGAGCCGGCCAGCTAACCAATCAGAGTGGACTGGGCTCTGGTTTCAGCCAGAAGATGAAAAGAGCTGCTGCAGCACAGGCAGTATGAGAACAATAAAGAGCTTTTTGTACATTACAATTTGCATAATAGGGCCCCTTTAATTAAGTTCAACACTCACGTATATATTTTTCAACACGTTTAATTAGTAGCAATTTCACTTCTAGATCAAGTGTTTATCTACAATCAAAAGATAGGACTGGCTTTTTTGTTGCCATGATTTGTTGCGGTAAATAAGGCTGACATAGGGGAAAGGAAATAATGAATCATCACTTACTGTTTGTGATCCACACAAGCATTCTGCACTTACATTTTATTTTACATACATGAGTCACATGACCAGCCAGAAGCAGCAGCATGCTTTACTGTATCATGACTCATTTACTGGGATGTTGACAGGGATGCATTACGCCCTCCCACTGTAGCCTCACAGTGGTGGGTGAAGAGAAGCAGCTGTGTAACAGATGGGCTTACACACCCTTAACAAAAAAAGGGAAAGAAAAACCAAAAAAGCATATTTTGTATAAAACAAAACAAAAGGTTGTCTTCTAAATGAGCCGAGTTGTATCTGAGATAAAAGCTTATTTTCCTATAAAAAATCTATATCGCCTGTCTTGCTTTTGTTAATAATAAGGTGTTAAAGTAAGAATGAACTTAAACCTTGAAAATAGTGGTGTGATTAAAAAGTCCTCAAGCTCCAGGCTCTGTTTTTTTTAGCATTTTCTCTATTATACTTTGTGCTCTTGGAGGCAATGACATTAGGGCTTTAGGAAACAGATTAAAGCCAGGAAGATCACATTTGTTATGTATCTGGTCCATCAAAAACAGGGCTGAGCGTAAATTCAACATACATTGACTCCAAATAAAACACCATATATTTATATAAAGGGGTACAATGGTTTTCAAAATGAATGAGTGAGTGAATGAAGAGTGGGAAAAGCAGAAATAACAACAGCACAGAAGCAAAAGAAAACCTCTCACACACATGTGAAGATACAGCAGACTACTGACTCATAGCTGTAGTGGTTGTTATGGTAGAAAAGTACAAATAAACACAATCATACTCAGTGCACTAAATATTAGTCAGATAAGGGGTATACCCTGCTCTGTGAGCACGTGCTTATGCTTAATGGTGTTTCCTGTACTTGTTCACACATGTAGCATGTTATGTTTAAGGTAAACACACAGCTGAAAATAGATGAAATAGATGTCCCACCTAGGCGTGCTTCCCACACACACAAGATAAACCACACCACATGTGCCACTCCTCGGCTAGACGGTGTTTCTCTTGTAATTACACGCACCATAGACACAGCCGAATTCATGTCATCTGAGTGGACTCCCTTCAGAAACTACAAAACCAAACGCTAAGCGGACCACGTTCAGATGTAGAAAGTAAGTCACAGCACAACAAGGACAAGAGGACCAAGAGTTGAACGGCAGAAAATGTGGAGATAAAGACAGTTTTCTACTAAAGACTTCACTTCATCTAAGGCTACAGGAATCATTCGACTGGCACTCAAGCCCTACAATGTAAGGTAGGGTCACTGGGTTATGGGGTAAAAATGTATGAAGGGTTCATCTATTGTCTCTTTAAAGTGGCCGACATATATTTGTGTTTCACAGTTCACACAGACACGAGTGCCTTCTGGCAACAGTCAAATACAGCATGTAATCTTATCTCCACTTCCATAACAGCATCATATCATAAGTCATAAAGTCATTAGGAGTCGTAAAGCTGACTAACTCTGCATTTCAGCTTAGTTATGCCACGTAAAAGGACAGATGTGAATTCCCTGGTTTCCTTTTACATGTGTGTTTCACAGATGGTGGTGAGTGTGTTTGCAGGGATAAGGTAGGGGAGTTTCATATTGACAGTGATGTGGGCATAGTGAGGTGTTTTATGTGTCTGCAAGGAGGGTGAATTGTTACTGCTGTAGATATAATGTGCTGCAATTTAGTGTAATTGTGTATAAAGTGCAGGGGTGATTACTGGCCCCAGTTATCAACACAAGTATCGCATTTCTTCCTGGAAATCTTTTGAAAAAAAACAAAAATCATATCAAATCTGAAAACTAAATATATCGTGAAATCAGAGAGACAGCCAGCCAACTTGGAAAAAACTATTAATGGTTAACTGTCAAGTAGACTGTTGTCTGGTCCCAAATACAGAAAAAAGGCAACATGACCAGCGCAGCATTTCAATCTGTGATGTGTGTGTGTGTGTGTGTGTGTGTGTGTGTGTGTGTGTGTGTGTGTGTGTGTGTGTGTGTGTGTGTGTGTGTGTGTGTGTGTGTGTGTGTGTGTGTGTGTGTGTGTGTGTGTGTGTGTGTGTGTGTGTGTGTGACTGAGTAGGAAGGAGTGGAGAATAAGGGCAAGAACAACAGTAGTGGTATGTGCACTCACCCATCTTCCCCTCCGACAGACCTTTCTCAGCATACATCTGTATACAGTAGGAAGCAAAAGGGAATAGCTTCCTTCCTTTTTCCTTCTTTCCTTCTCTCCGTGTCTCCTCAGAACAGGTGGTCCAAGGCCTTGTCAGTCACTTTTCCCTGTTAATATAATATTGAAGGTCTTAAGTGACAAACAAAGACCATATTGAAGCAAACACTTAGGATTAACTCTGAAAGCATACAGGTACAGTATATTACGTGGGAGGAACCAACTAGTTTTGCCACGAATTAGAAAAAAAAAACATTAAAACACTTTAATATAATAATCCTAGGCCTACTTCAATTTTGATCGATATGCTCTAAAGTACAGACTGGTTACATAACAGTATGCAGTCCATAAAAGTCCATATATTTTTTACACTAACTGAGTTTTTCTTCTACTATTTGCATCTTCATCCAACATCATTATTTTTGCCAATACATACTCCACGACTGTTGTCTTTATCAACAGAAGGTTAAACTAGTTACAGTGTTCTAACACGAGGACACAATTCATATGAGACAACTGGGAGCAAATGATAACAAAGGCATTATTCCTAAAGTTAAAGTGTATGTGTAATGTTGACATAATTAAAATTATACCAAAAAAAAGCTACTTAATGTTGTGTTTCATTTCAAATAACTATATACTACTAGCTGTTAGAGTTGGGCTATAGCCATTGGTGTAGAGTAACCAAGTACATTTACGCAAGTACTGTACTTAATAACTATTTTTGAGAGACTTCTACTATTTCAATTTAATATATAAACTAAGACTTTTTTTACACCTGGAGTAAATGTACAAGCTATCCTGCAGTATACAAACTAATTTAAACTAGCTGCACCTTTACCAGCTTTGATAACACTTGAATGCATCAATAATTATAATCAAAACATATAATGTATTATTCTGAAATGGGCCAAACTGCAGAATGAGTACTTTTGGTACTTTAAATATATTTTAATGCTAATTATTTTATTTGAGTAACATTTTGAATGTAGGACCTTTGTAACAGAGTATTCCTACACTCTGGTATTTGTACTTTTACTCAAGTACAAGTTCTGAGTACTTCTCCCACCTCTGACTATAGCCTTTAGCAATGTTAACTGTTAGCATTAAGTGTTAGTTAGACCACAGGGCTGAAACACATTCCAGAAAGAGACTCACCTGACTTTTTTTTACAGCAGGTGAAACAAATGCCTTCGTTAATGACAAATATAATGTTATTTTTTCTTTAAAGTCTTTATTGAAGAATAAAATAGCAACAAAAAAACTTCTGCCTCGAAAAACAGACGACGAGGCCGTTTAAACTCCGCCACAGATAAATCCAGTTTGAAGTAAATCCGTGTTGCTGTCTCCACAGGTTACTGACCCCAGAGGAAGAAGAAGGGGGAAAGGATTTCAGCGAGTCTTAATATCAACCGAAACCACCGACACCGGCGTCTAATAGAAAAGAGAAAAACATTTGGAAGCCTGTTCTATCTGAGACGAAGTTAATGAAAGTTTATCGCATCTTTGTCTGCGGGTTCTTGTGTGGTCGTCCTGTGAGCGGTCAGCTGCGCAGAGGAGAGGGGCACCAGTGACGTCACGGTGCATTTCTGAGTGGACCCAGATTGCTGACCTGCTGCAGGTGAACACACTGTGCGAATTATCCCGTGTCGTTGTGTGTTCTATAATAGAATAGAATAGAACACACAACGAAACGGGATAATAACTTAATGGGGGCCAGGTTTAGTGTAAAGATGTACCTTAAAACGGTGGATAGCGTGGACAAAATTAAGAGATCAATCAAAATGTTTCTTACATCTCAATCTCTACATGTATGGCAGCCATTCAATTCCAGTGTCTGTTGAACTCCAACAAAGAGAAATTAATTACATTAATTGATCACTAAATGTGCATCAGTAACATTATCTATTATCCAAAAATAATTGCCATTCTGCATAACGAGTACTGTAGTTTTTGTACTAATTTTCAATCCAAAACTTTTGTATTTACATTTTTAAATGTAGGATATTTACTTGTAATAAAGTATTTATAGCCTTTAATCCCAGTTCCCTGTTGCAGAGAAAATAAAAAGGAAGTTGGACAATCCGACCCATAATTCTTTGCTCTACAGGAAGCAAGCACATCACCAAAAAGCAGAGGAGGGCAGACAGTTGAAGCCAAAGGAGAAGAAAGGGCAGGTGTCTGAGGGTGGAAAATCAGGGGACCAAAACAAAACAGCTGGAATAGAAGATGGGTGGACGAGTGAGCTGCTGGCTGCTGCTCACACTGTCTCTGAAAGGTAAAATACATATTTAAACTAAAGTTTTGGCTTGACATGCATATAGCGAAATTAATGCAGCTTATAAATCATAAAACTGATGTCACAACTGCTTGAAGATGGTTTCAGTGGCACCAGAGCTGCATGCATATTATATCTAATCTATATACTAGTTCCAATAAAAAAAATATTTGTACATTTCACCCTGTGGCTTATTTTTGTATTGTTTTATTCTTATATTATTGACCAAAACACAGTGTTGTACATTGCAGCAAAACTTGTAATGCAGGTACACTCAGATACGTCAGTTAATTTGATCTGTATATCTGGATCATCTTAGGTAAATAATGTTGAAGAAAAATACAGTAACTTGCGTAAATGTTAGACCCTTGTCATGTAACTTAGTGGTTATGATATAAAAACCTGTTATAATGTATAATCTATATCTTCCCCCTCAGGTGTTCTTGCAGGTGATTGGTCAGTTAGTCTTCCCTCCAATCCTATTTCTGCTGTGATTGGTTCCTCTGTGGTTCTCCCTTGTTCCTATGACTTCCCTTCTTCTGAGGCTGAGGGACGGCTCTCTGCTCAGGTATAAAGAAGGCTTTGTTAGCAGTTGCAACGTATCCTGTTTCTTCAGCAGGAAGTCTTTCTTTGCAAGGCTCTTAAATGTGCAGCTGCAGGGGTTTGATCAAGAATAATTTAAATAAACTAACTTATTTTACTACAATTGATGGAAGGATTTAAACATCGAGCATCAGGTTAACATAAGCATAATTATGTGGTATTAAATGGCGCTTTAGCCCTTGTTCAAAAGCTCCTTCAATAGAAACTCTGTCTAATCATCTCAATTAGGGTGGAGGAGGAGGAGGAGAGTACAACGTTTCGTCTGAGATCTGGTGTCTCGAAGACAGTCGCTGTATCACATCAAGGTCTTGTTGAAGATGCACAAAAACATCCGCAAAAATGTCTGCAAGAACTTATAGAAGAGGATTAAACCAAACTAAATAAATCTGTCTATCTGTCTCAGATATGTCTTCCACAGTGCCGGTATATTCCTACATCCATCCTACCAGAACAGGGTGGAGTACCCACAACCAGGAACCAAAAACTGTTCTCTGAGGATTTCTGACCTGAGGAAGTCAGACAGTGGAGCGTATGTGTTTTACCTCATCACCAGCCACCCCACTCAGAAGATGCCAGAGCAGAAAGGAGTACAGCTCCTAGTGGCAGGTGGGAATATTTCATTCACAACTAATGCCACAACTCATCACCAACAGTAATACTATAATCCACAAAATGATCTTCATCCTTCATTATCGATGCATAGCTCATCATTTGTTGTTTGAGTTGCAAAGGATTTAAGAAAAAATAAATGTTGTACTTTGCGAATTGGTTGACTTTAATATTTGGATGACATGTGTTGATGTTTAATCACCATCGCGTGGAGAAGGAAACACTTCCTTTTTGCAACTCTGTCTGCTATTTATGTGAAGGAGAACTGAAACTGACCAGAAGCCTTAATAATGCTTGTGTTTCAAGACAGTCTTAATTCCGTACCCAAATGATCAAAGTCCCACACAGCCACACAGCCCAGAGACTCACTGGAAACATGTATTTGCTGAACTCCTAAAGCAAGGTATTAGAGCCTGTTGAAAAGCAACTTCATTGTGTTTGTGTGAGGTAAATCATGCAATATTCTTAAGAAATGATGGACCAACGTCTGTGTCAAGTCACTCTCTTGTTTTGTTGGTATAATGCAGTAATAATTACCAGTGAAAAGTTGAAAAGTTAAAGATTTTCAACTTTTCAACTATTAAGTTCAACTTGCACCATGAACAAATGAACAAAAACAAAGGTTTGTTGTTTGGTCATGAACAGTTGAACCACTGGTTGGAGGAACAAAACAAGCATCAATGGTGAAGCATGCAACACCTTTGAAATGAATAGAGGCTTGTGAAAAACAACCTGGAGGCAGGAGTTTACTGTTTTAAGGTCAGCTAGTCCACACAGAGGTCACATTCTCTATATTTATTCTGCTTAAAATAAAGAGATCTGAAATTAGTTTTATTTTTTAACTATCTTATTTTGAAACATTACACATTAAATATGGATCATTAATTAATAAGGATTTACATTTTATTCCCACCTTTTAAACTTCAAGGTAGAGTAGATGCACAAATAGAACAGTTAAAGGTTTTATGTTCCACAGGGAAAATATATATAAAACAATAGACTAAACATGTTTTTAATGTGTCATATGGCAGGTTAGTGGACCTTTACCTCAGTATTTCTAAAATCCTGGCCAAAGCCCTGAACAGAGATCATCATACAGTTATTTTTCACAAATCACTTAAGTTCGTTTTATTCTTGAATATGAGACAACTTAATACACCTCGTTTTCTCCAGACTCCTCCAGTGCAGTCACGGTGTCAGCGAGTCCCTCCAGTGACATCACAGAAGGCGTGGCCCTGCGTCTGGCCTGTGGCAGCCCTGCGGCCAGTCCCCAGGCCCTCTTCAGATGGTACAAGAGCACAAGCAGCACCCCGAGACACACTGGACAGGTGTGGGACATCAGTGAGGTGACACCTGGAGACTCTGGCAGCTACTACTGTCAGATACAGACTGGAGATAAAGAGCAGAACTCAACAATGCTGCCTATTGATGTAGAATGTAAGTGAAGGTGTATTCCCATTTAAATTGATATTTCTATTATGAACCAACAAACAATATGTAGTTTTACGCAACTATGCGTCTCTCATCAAAACAACAACAAAAGACAGTTTGGTGATATGGAGAAGTAGCATGGGATTATGAGAGTTGTTGTCTTCTCCACCATTGCAGTCAGCTATCTCTGATTGGGCTTTCACCATTGTTCGTTGTTCAGTAGGCTTTAACAGGTAGCCAAATTATCCACAGAGGTTTTTGCAGGGTTGCCACTAAACGTTTGCTGAGCTTGTTTTTATGTAGAGTTGAGATCCAGGTGTTAGGCTGGTATTTATCGGGTGCCAAATTATCTGCCGACTTCTCCTCCTCTCTTAAACAAACTGACCCAGTGATTTAAACTGAGAAAAAACAAAGAGAGAAGCAGTTAAACATTAAAAAACAATCCCTCAGCTTTTTTTCTCATGAAGATCTAGACGTTTAATGTATTTGGATCATTCCTTTGATTACAGTTAAGAATTTCTATAGGTTTGAAGATTGTTGAAAACATTTGGGATAGTATCCACTCAACAGAATATATAGGTCCAGACATGTAATATCTTACATAATGTATATTTTCACTGAGAAATTCTACATAAAGAAACATCACTGTATATTTTTTTCTCGATTTATTTTAATGAATATATTATTAGTACTAAGTGTCTTCACAGAATCCCATATGATTTGAAACAGGGTGTAACTGACTTTTCATCTCCATCCTGTCCAGACTCTCCTCGCAACACAGCGGTCTCAGTCTCTCCTGCTGCAGAGCTACAGAACGGGCTTCCTGTGACTCTGACCTGCAGCAGCGATGCTAACCCTCCTGTCCACACATACACCTGGTACCAGGGGGCAGCATGTCTTCTGGCAGCCGACAAAAGCTTTAATCGAGGCAGAAAATCTCCGGCTACACCTACAGGACGAGGCCCGACACTCAGCAGTGCCAACATCTCCGCTGAAGAATATGGGCTGCACTGCTGCGAGGCTCGGAACAGACATGGATCACAGACTGAGAGTGTGAAACTCACAGATCCAGAAGGTGGGTCAATACGTAGCCTGCCAGTTTTTTGTGGAACCAAGTTCAGCAGGACATAGGCCCAAAATAACACCTCATCTAATATTCAACAACAAACGAACAAAACATAGAAAATAAATTGATATTTCTAAAAAGGAGTCAGTGCTTACATAACAAGAGGTGACTGATTCGTCATTTTGCATACCATAACCTATGACAATCACAAAAAAGGACCTTTATCACCCTCATTAAGGTACAATTATAATTGGTTGGCCACTGATCCATTTCAGCAGCAACAGTTGTGTCGGTTCTTATGTAAAACAAGGAGAAAAGTGATAATTAAAGGAACCCATTCTTCCACCAGAGCACCAAACACTTATTAAGGTATCATTTTCAAACTACATATATCTTCTCTACCTTTGAGATGCATAAAAAAAAAGTATGACTTACCATGTAAATATTTAGTTTGAATACTGGGTCTATTTTGCATTTTATCCAGTACAAATAAACACTATATATATAGCTTTGCTGCCATGAAGCTCAGCCTTATGAAATACCTTTACACTGTAGGTCCATCAGCACCAGGATGTTTTTTTTTTGTTTTTGTTTTTTGTTTGTTGTTGTTTTGTTTGTATACCCCCCCTCCCAAATGTAAAGCGTCTTTGGGTCCAGAAAAGCGCTATATAAAATTAATATATTATTATTATTATTAAGGTCTAGCTATTAACATGTATAAAATAATTCTGCCAGAGACCGTTTTATATGACTCTAATGGTTTTTGTCTGTCCACCCCAGCAACGGACCCATCCGAGTCTTCAGGAAAGAGATTGCTGATTATTGGAGTGACTGTCTGTGTTATCCTGGCTTTAGTTGCCATAGTGGCCTTTCTCTTGTCAAGGTGAGTTATTTACTCCCCTTATAGATGATCAGTGATTTTTTTAATAACTATCATTTGATTTTACATTTAGACAGATGCATCTTCCACAGTCTGCATGCAGAGTCTGTTGCTTGAATTATTCCAATAATCAAATCTAGATGTGAATATAGCGTGTATTTAAAAGGTTGATGTCTGCAGTAGTGTGACTATCAGCCCAATATCACCAATGTCTGTGTTACATACGTGTTGTTTATTTTAATTTTAGATAGATACCATTAAATTAGTATTGTAAATGTTAATGTTTTTTTAATAAATGTTTTGTCTATCCTTTCAGGAGACAGAAGTCATCAAGACATCAGTCGTATGTCCTCACAGAGACATCTCCTCCAGCACCTTGAGGCTTCTTTCAGCACAAATACGAGAACGCTTTTTTTCTGGATTTTCTGGAGTTGACTTTTGCTTTAAGAGAATACTCAAGCAAAAGAATAACTATGTAAATAGATTTACTCTTTTGGCTCTTATCTGTTCATTTGTTTACATAAGCTTAAAGGTGGGGTAGGTAGGCCTAATTGACTTCAGAAACACTTTTTGTTATATTCCATGGAATGCTCTTAACATCCCGATAGCAATGAATATCTTAAGTGCTTTGACAATAAATACATAAAACAATATCATCTGTGGAAGCCGTAGTACTGTAAAAAGCACGACCAATCATCTGAGCCGGCCCGGCTAAAGTAACTGGATGGCCTACCTGCCTGTCAGCCTTCCATCTGTGCACAACCTTATCTCGTGCCCTCATTGGTCATGTGAACATTCATGTCATGTGTGTTGGAGGAGGAGCTCTGTAAGGAAGTCTGAAGGAAGGGGCAGATTTATTTCGGCTGCATACTTTCCAATTATTGCGCACTGGAGCTGTTTTCTCCATTCTTACCTACCCTACCTTTAACTGTTATTGTGCTTTTGGATTAGTTTAATGCTGCTGTCAGGATATAACATAGTGATAAAATATACAAATGTATTTATTATCACCCAATTTCCTTTTTTCTACTGCACTTAAACAACACGCAGAGTGCACCCAGTACGGCAGTGTCCAGAAAACAGCTGTTGCTCAAAGCCTATTAGTGATGATGCAGAGCAAGAAGATGATGACAGAAAATACATTCATAATGATCCAATTAAAAGCTGTTAGCTGTAAGCTCTGGGTCACATTTGTGTGTTCTTGAGTAAACGCTGCAGAGTGATAAGGCTCTAACAGATACTGACCAGAGCCTGAGGATGAAAACCAGGAGGACAGTGACTCTGAAACCCGGACATCCATTTACAAATTGTACTTGGATATCAACTCTTCATCTTGTTCATCTATTTTTAGAAAAAAAACGTAATGTTTATGATATTGAAGTGCGATGAGCTAAGATATGCTGATTGAGTGACCAAATATTTAAAGAGACAGTTTCATGTCAGTTCATGTGTTGTTTTCTTTGGTTGTATGCTTGTATTTATTATTCACTTTCAAAGCGATAGCTCACCACAAAATCAAAAACACATATTTTTCTTGTTACATACATAACATACATGTTGCTATTTAAAGGGGCCCTATTGTGCTTTTTGGGTTTGTCCCTTTCCTGTAGTGTGTTATTGTTGTGTCTCGTCAAATGTGTTAGTTATGTTCATGTATTTTGTCTGTCATTTCCTGTTTTATTTTGTACCTACCTCTTGTCTTTCATTTCAGGCCCTGTTTCTTCCTCCCCGTGTGTGTTTTTCCCACCATCATCAGTGTCTGCCCTGCCCCTGATTGTTTCCACCTGTTCCCACTCACCTCATGTTTAAATAGTCCTGTCTCCCCCTGTCCTGTGTCAGTTCGTCTTGTTTGTTTCTCAGAATGGTCGTGTTGTGTCGTGCCATACCTCAGCTCAGAAAGGATCGCTTTCACTCATGTCAGGTTTTGTTTCTTTGGTTAATTGTGTAGGCTTAAGTTTTTCTCAAGTTTTCTTTTTGTTATGCCTAGTTTTTTCCTCCTTGTGAGTGCTTTTTGTTTATTCCAGTACCTACTCTGTTAAGAGGGATTACCTGATCTGTGAAATTAAAATTAAAACATTTTACATTCAAGACTTTGTCTTTGGGTCGTGCATTTGGGTTCATCATGTTTGTGTCGAGATCCTGACAGTTATATAGGTTTGAGTGCATGTAAATGGTCTGCAAAGGCTAAAACCCCAAAGTTCACATCAGAAGGACCCCTTTGTTTAGTTCCGGGACATAATTACATCACTATGTAACACTCACGCTTCTATTGGCTCGCGCTCAAACACATTGTATGTGATAGGGTAAGGGGCAGAACATCTCTAAGCGGTTGACCAGTCACAACAGAGCTAGCCGGCTAACCAGTCAGAGCACACTTGGCTCTGATTTCAGACGGAGGGTGAAAAGCATCTTAACATGTCACTGTAGAAGCACTAAATAAATAAAATAACCTTACAAATTTGCATTATAGGGCCCATTGAACAATCTAGATTAGTTTGAGTTGCAGAGTAATAGAGTAATGGAGATATCTGCCATAAAGATGACTGCCTTCACTTGAATATAAAGGAACTAAATGGCGCTGGCTCTTGAAATGTGCTTTAGGCACCACTAGGCAAATGTCATCTAGTTCTGTTACATACAAAAGCAGCAGCAGATGTCTCCAAATAAAAATGTCCATACTACTGCACAAACTATACTGGAGTGGAGCACACATCAAATGGGATGATAAGAATGTAAAGTAAATAACTGTGAAACCACAGAAGGATATTGCTTGTGTTGTTATGTAACATCCTTTATCTTGCAACAGTTCATGTACTGCATGCTGCTTTGTTGCTTTCTTTCTCAAACATATTACTTAACCCTCTTCCGTGGCCATTTTTTTCCTTTTCTCCATCAAATCAAAAGCTTAAAATACAATGGTGACCTCTCAAACTCACTCAAGTTTCAATCAATGAAATGTTTATCATTATGATATCTCAGTCTTACACAGTGTTCTGCATAGTTATTTAGAATTGTGGCCACATCAGTCTGCCATTATTTGATCCTGACTGAAATATCTCAAAAGCTACTGACAAAATGTATCTGGACAGAAAATCAA